TGGTGCTTCGATTCGCGCAACCTACAACAGCACAAAATTTAGGCATTTTCTACTAAAATACAAAATATTATAATATTAAGATGCTAGTGTATTTAAAAAACATTGATGTACATTAAGAAAGAATTCATTTGCAAAACAAATAATATAAGAAGCAGCGAAGTTAACCTGTACATCACATTGGAAAACATTATTTTTTAAGCATATTCAAACGTTATGGTGCGTTTTACAGATATCTACACAGTCTAGAAACTGTAACAAACTTACCAAACTATAAAAACACAGTTGACACGCTCTCAAATTTAAATGAATTCCGAAAATATTAGCATTGACTCTTATGAGAAAACAGGCTAGTTGTCAAACGCTGCCATCTTGATGACCTCGGATGACGTCAGTGTATTTGGCTAATTGTTTAAGAAGGAATCCTGCCGCCAACATTTTTGGAAGCGCTGGTCCGTGGAATATCATACGACGCTGCAGGGGAGATCCAGGTGGCAAACCCTCTCAAGAAACGTTCCCGGCACTGGAGCGCTGGTACTACCCATCAAAGAAGACAACCGGCAACCGTTGCGGTGGCTATTACAACGGATAGTGCAAGTGCATCGCGGCAAAGACGATCTTGTTCGCGTAGTGTTTGTGCAGTGTCGAAATTGCATCATAAAGTGCGCCAATTCGGAAACGGCTTTTCCATATACTAATTCGGGTTCTGGTTATCTACACACTATTGTAAATAAAGTTTGTCCACTCTTATTGTACCTGATAAAGAGTTGTAAATCTCTCTTTCAGGTGTATTCCATGTATAAGTAGTATTCATTCTTATTGTATGTGGGCAAGTGTTGTAAATCGCTATTCTTAGTTTATTGCCCATATTGTATAATCACTGTGAATCCTTTCTATACAATGTTAATTGTAGTAAATCTTACTCATGTATTCTCATTCGAATTGATCATTACGATATCATGTTATCACTCTAACATTATATTATTTGGTATTAAAACAATGTAATTGTTTCAAGGCGGGGGGTATGTTAGTGCCTCTGGCGGGGACCTGTTTCACCCCTCTCCACCCGTAAGGGTGGGAGCCAGGGCCACCACCACCTTCCAATACAGGGAACATTCATTCACTATTCATCATTGACTCTTCAAGCACTCTTCAAGCGGTTAACATAGTCTTTATATTCAATCTCTGGACCTAACGGTCATAATATCATACTCGCTCTAGAACACACTTGTTATTTGTTTAATAAAACTACAAAACGATTGTCCGCTGCTCTTATTCATAATCCATCAAAATTAACAGTAATTTTCTTTCGTGTATAATTTAAATTGAAAGTAAATTTTCATGCTGTGCAGTCCCTTACCTCACGTAATGTTTTTGTTGGCACAAATTTTACTTCACACTAGATGTTTTTTTTTTGTTTCTACAAATCTGTAAAATGTCCAATCTAAACCTCCCGATAAGAACTCTTGGCTATTTCAAATTTCACGAAAGTGTATGGCGAATTTAAATGTTGTTTATTGCTCTTTTGAAACTTAACACTTGTTCAGTTTTGATTTAATATCAGAGTTATAGAAATTGAACATTTAAATGGAATTGAGGTTATAACACAGAAATACGTGGCGGAAGCGGAGTTCGCGGTTTCTTGTCGAGTTAGCGGAAAAGACGCAGACTTAGAACACCAGTCAGGGGCGGTCGTGATGACGAGATGGCCTACTCGTACGGCATGTTCGTAATGGAGAGGTGTTGTGCAGCAGTGCTTGCGATAGATAGAATCACCGTGGTAGGTAGGAGAACAATCACAACCAGGAGCCCCCTACGGGTAATTTTGTTGTGCTCTAGAATGAAGTTGAGATAGTTCGGTTGCCACACTCTTATAGCGCTCTGATGCCGCTGCCTAATTTTGTTAAAATTTTGTTCTGTTGTCATAATTTAAATTTGCCGCCACACGTCCGTAATAAATTGTGTATTTGTATCCAATTATTTTAATTCAGATTTTTTTTGTTTTTATTAAATATGTGATATTCAAATATTTGCATTGATTCAGAACGTTTAATTTGATTTCATTCGAAGTTAGGGAAGCTTTTTTTTTATCAGTGGAGGAATAAATAATTTTGTGCCCTCCATATATTTGGTGTTTTATTTAGCGGTACTTTTCCAACCTTGAAGTCTACCACTTGCATCTGAACGCATTCCGCTACAAAAGAAAAAAAACACAACGTAGGTTCCATTTTGTCAGACGATCACAGCCAAGGCCAACATTTTTTTCAGATGTCATTTTAAAGCGGGACTCAGGAAACTGGGGTTAATTTTAAAAAAGATTGAAAGCAGATATAAGCACCAAACACATTTGCTATTTATTAAAAAATTCTGTACCATCATCGTTAATTTAACATTTTCTATTTGACTTTGTTTGTATCGCCTTTTATAATCATATCAGATTTTGGACATATTTTCTAAAGTTGTTTAGACAGAACTTCCCTCATCCCTGAAGCACATTCGAACAAATACAAAAATAATTTTGTAAATTTGATTTATTTTTATGAGAACCATTATAAGTTAAAATAAAAATACATGTAGACTATCAAAGTACAGGTAAAGAATCATGGTATGCAATAGCGTAAATGAGGCCCCCTCAATACACAAACTAAGTGTGAACAAAATCATTAAAAACAATTCCTTACGTCTGAACAATTCTTAGGTTTTTCGCTATATTCTAAAAAAAAACTATGGGGAAAGACATGAAACTTCCAAAATTATTTTGAATATTATGTTATTACGATAATTCTTATTTTATTATTACCAAATATAGGAGGACGCAACGTTACTGTATTCTCAAATTTCCGAGAAAATGGGATGAATCGTTTCTGATTTGATCAATAAAAAATGTGATCCACCGAGTTCATAATGATAATATGATTATGCAGTTTAGGATTTTTCGCCAAAAGTAGATTCGAATAGAAGTATCTTATTTTATAAAATTTGAATAGCGTTTGAAAAAAAAAAATGGGGGAACGTCATCAAATTATTGGTGGGAATGATTAGCCAAATTTTCGTTAACGTTCTACCATCTACACGATATTTCTAAAATACATATAAAATTAACAACAATACGGTGGTAGTTTCAGAGATTATACGTCTAATAAAAATCAGTGGCCGAATAGTATTATAAAAAAACTATTCTTTATGGTGCAAAATATACTAGGTGTGAAATAATGGAATAACTGTAATTACAGAATTATCATGTCTTCATGCTATGGAAAGGTTTCTGTAAACATTTATATAATAAAATTAATATCGATTATTTTCTTTAATGTATGAGTAGTTCATGCTTAATTTGCCGAGAATATAGGCATACAAATAAAAATTAAAAAAAGGCGTGATAAATCTTAAAACAATAGTAACTTATTATATGAGTTCGAGCCGTAGGCGAGTGAAGCAAATTGGCTGAATGAATATAATTACTTTAAATTGGAAAACTATAAACAAAAGACAAAATCATAATAAAACCATAATAAATAAGCAAATGCAATCGCAAAACCATCTCTAGATTGTTAGATTAGAATAAGAACGAACGATATGAAATAATGAGCCGTTGTTATCTTTAATAACTACCAAGGTGTTTTCTTATTAGTTCAACGTACCCGTGAAATACGGAATTCTCTCCCTGTGATTGACAGAACGCTGATCTGGAAATATGGTTATAATATTGGTAATCGAAAAATTGTAATAAAACGAATATTTATCTTAATTTATTCTTTCATTTTTATTAAAATGCATTGTTCTCTGGAGAGTTTAAATTTGATTCAAGCAATTAATAACAAACATAAAATTCAAAAAACACTTAACCACTTCATATACAAATCTGAGATTTTTTCTTGTTATTTAGGCCACATCAGTGATATTTTTTATTGCTAGTCATATACAGGGTGAATATTTTGTCTTAACGTTTTTTCTAAACACCTAAAGAATTGGTCGGATGGATGTCGCCTATCGGGATATCTTCTTTCGTAGAGATTTGCTGCTGCATCGGCATTTTTTCCGCATTTTCCAAAAATCAAGATCATATCAACCTTTTCATCGTTCGTGTATTTAAGCCTCATCTTATCGCGAAGACTAAAAACTTATCGGAGCTCAAAATTGACAAATAGAATTATTGCGAAAGTCAAAATTAACTACTAGGTAACTACGTTTGTACATTTTAGAAAAATAAAATATAAAAAGAGTTACATATGAGGTATGTATTTTGTGTTGTGTTGAAATTTGGTCAGGGTCCCGATATTATAACACTCAGCCTGTATATTTGCGCATTTTTTGCATATTCTTCCAATAATTCAAAATGACATTCTAGAATTTTCAAATTTATTACAAAAAAGGAACATAACTATTACATTAAAACATGTTTCACCAACAAACAGTCTTAAATGGTCTTAAACATAAGAGATGTATAACGTTATTAATAACCCACTTACACGTTACATACGTTACACACTTCAAGCCAGGTTTACATGAAAAAAAAAAGTGATGTCATACATTTTTTATCAGTACGTTACGTATTAACTTGCTATTTCGGATTCTACGAGAAGACATAAAATGACCTCATTATAAAACTCCAATCCAAATTTGTTGCCAAAATGTGAAAACTTTTCCGATGCACTATCAATTTATAAAACGTTCTCTCTAGTGTTTAGTTCATTTTTGTAGTTAAATGTTTAAATAAACTTACAGAAAATAGGATTTGAATTATTAAAAATGGGTACATCCAGGTATAATTACCTAAAAATATGTATAAATTAGATATCTATGTATCATGCTATCCACTGTTCACTTGTTCGGTGATACCTATTTCCTGTATTTTATTTGAAAATATGTTACACACTAATAATTTATTTTCTGTGGCAATTATGAATAATAAAACATGTTAAAATTTGATGATAAATAATAATTGTCAAATAATGTGGTTACGGATGTAAAGAAACCGCAGCTTTTAGTAAAACAAACATATGTTTAACGTATTGTCATTTATTTTCGTACTATATCACTATAACAATGTCAATGTTTGAAATCTTTTATGGCTTATAACAGTAGAAACTTTACGTGTGTATTGTATATACAAAACGTCCAAAAAATAAATAATAACCTACTTATGTACAAACGTCATACAAAACAACTTCCTTCTCTATATCTAAATATCACAATATGCTTCAGTACATTTGAACAAAACCAAGAAAACATAAAACCTAAACTTTAAGCAACTGGCGCCGCGTTGGCAACACCAAATGCAGATATAAAAACATTTATAACTGTTACAAGAAATATTCCAATAACAGTAAAATTGTTTATCTTATTCGCTATGCATATCTCCTTCTCGTTCTTCACGTTGTATGTGGCATTCCATACGAGTCCTATGCCTACAGCAACCTAGAACAAAACACACTGTGTTAAAAAAAGTGATAATTTTCCTTAATATCTAAACAATGTATTTACTTCAAGTAGCAGATAACACAACTGACAACTAAACCGCAACAAACTTCCTCTACAACACTTGAAATGACCTTTTGAAATAAACACGCGACGTTAAAAATGACCATCATAGCTAATAAAACACTATGATAACAACATGCAGATGTTTCGTTATCTAACAATCACGAAAAAAAATTGCAACAACTGAGTATCAAACAGTGTATTTTTATTTTTATACTTACTTGACAAAGCAGGCTAAATGAGATCAGAACCAAACTGGGATAATAATAAGGATGTCGATTAAAGCTTTCCAGGACGTATCGCAGCTGATTTGCATTGGCAGAAAAAAGAGCCAAATCCATCATTCCCTGCGCTAGGGTTTTCTTGTGTTGATAAATGTTCACGTCTGGGATGGATTCTAAATCCGGAATTACACTTCCGGTCTCAATATCAACTCCTCCAAAGCCAGGAGCGTATGGAAACCTTCCGGGATAACCAGGATGTAACCCTTTCGGCATTCCATCAACTTCGTCCGGTTTTTCACTATCACCGTCTCCTCCAGCTCTCGACGTTATTATTATCGGTATATCTCCATCATATTTCGGAAAATCTTCACTATCCGGATTGTCTCCATCTTCACTCTTTTTGTCTCCATCTTCACTCTTTTTATCACCATTTTCATTGAAAAACCCGTCATCTACACCGGGGTATGGGGCGGAAACAACTTCTCTGTCATCATTCGAGTCATCATCTGTTTCGGCTGTAGCCAAAGGGGGTTTTTCGTTGTCAATGACCTCAACTAAAGGCACTTTTTCTGCCATGTTGGGTGTTACGTTTTCTCTTCGGATGCGACTGGGAGGACTGGGTGAATTCGATTCTATCAAACTTGAATAGTTGTTGTGGTGTGATGCCATCAGTTACTATGAGAGAATATCTTAACAGCACTGGTATATATAGATGTGTCTCGTCACAAGCAAGCCGTGAACTGAACTGAAGCCGCTGGGTACACGCTCGAATGTTAAAAAGGCTGGCCAAGTTTACGTAGCAATGGTGGATTTACCACAGGTTTATTTGTGATTCACGTATAGTAGTGAACTCGCGGTGTTTCTAACTACTGTGTTATACAAAATTAGGATTCAAGGTTTCGCACTGTTGACAAAAGACGGAGTTAAGGCGGCTTATGTCTGTATTTGGAGTGGGGAATTCTACGGTTTTTTTGCTTGCGCGTGTTGAGCAGACTTTCCCCAGGTTGGTCGGAAGGAGTTATAGTGTAAAAGTGGGAAATTCGGATGAAAGTATTAGCTGATTTATGCGCCGTTAAAGGGTCGGGGGGGCTAATTAGGTTTACGCAGAATTCTGTGAGTAATGGGAAATTCGCAACAGAATCAACAGGTAGACTGAGGCCGGTCCTGCATTTTGCGCAAGCAACCGGTTTATTGATTATAGAAACCAAAAAAATGCACGGGTATTTAATAATTGTTCAGAGAAATATCTAGAAGCGATAATAACAAACAATGTACAGATTTGTATATTTTCAAGGCTTCACTGACTGATGTAAATATTTTTACTATACAGCCAATCTCTTTCATAACATTGAGGTGTGCGACCGATAGGGTATAGTGTTTCATAAAAAAAATTTTTTTTAATTGTTAAATTTTTTTTGTGAATTTCAAGAAAAGTAGATGAGCTTTTTTTGATACATTTTTTTTTTTAGATAACATATGCACTAAACCCTAAGTAACAAAAGGTTATCGCTGCAGCACAAAGTGATTTAAGTGTTTTTTTTTTTTAATAAAGATTAGTTAGTGTTTTTTAAGATGAGGTTATCGATTTGTGTTAGCATTGTACGATAATTTAGACTCCTAGACAGGCAAAGGGACATTTGATGATTATGTAACACCGAAAATAACTTATTCTATTTTTAGAATTTTAGAAAAATTAGATAAAAATTCTAAAAATAAAACTAAATTTTTTCAGTACAAGCAATACTGATTTCGGAGCGTATTTTTCATAAAATATGATATATGATGATATTTCATTTTAAATTCATTTTAGGATAATTCGTTAACAGTAGATAATGAAACACGCTTAGAATGAGATTTCTTTGAAGCGCACGAGTGGACAAATTTTGGTAAGCTTTTTACCATCAACGGATATCATAAAACACACCTATAATTTCAAAGTAATTAGTTTTTTGTTTAGTATTACATGCGCTATCCGGCTTAATTTAATAACAGTAAACAGTAAACAAAAAAGATTTAACTTCTAGATTTCATGCGGTGTTTAGATAATTATGTAGATAGCGGTTATTTGTCAACAAATTTTTATACCTTCCGTTCCATTACATCAGGGTTTGACAATTATATTTCTTTACTTTCGTGTTAAAATGTTTGCACTATGCATTTAAAAAGTGCGATCATTACTTTATTAAAATAAATGAAATAAAGGTTGAGTATTTATAATTTTTTACTTCAATCAAATTTTAAAATAAGAATTCATCCCAGGAGTCTTTATCATTATCGACATTTATCTCTCTTTAAATATCTGTATCCATAAATAACACTGGATTTAAACTTTCTCAAGCAACTCTCACTAGTACGTCGAGTGAATATTTATCTTTAATTTATTATCTCCTGAAAGACAAAGCAAAGGTCATCAGTAAATAAATATTTATGCCTTACAGTAAAAAACAACCAAGTTTGACCATGCACTTTGGGAATTTTTCAAATGTTATTATAAGCGTCACACAAAAGAATTTAAAGCTACTATTTCAAGTTGAGATGAATGTTAGAAAAAGAATAAGCAACATTAATTTCCACAGATTTATACACAAATTGTACAAGAATCCTGCGAATGCTTGTAAGTTGTAAGGATAAAGAAAATTAACGTAAATCCGTTAAATATAGTTAAAAAGTGGGTGTACCGTTAACTCCAAGACCTCAATAAGTATATATTATTCGGTAATTGTGTTCTTTATTTGCTAATTTGCAAATGATTACGCAACATGTTTTATTTCCTTGCAAGCACACATACGAAAAATTTCCTGGTCTGTTTTATTTAAAGATTTCAAACTACTTGTCTAATAAAAAAATATAGCTTCATAATAAATTTATAATCGTGTTCAGTTCGAGCGTGTCTGTTTTTAAAATTTTGTCGAAAAACGATTCATGGAAAACGTTTTACTCGCAGTGTTTGTATTTTTAGCCTTCATAGTAAACAGTTCAGAACGGCTTGCCAAATGCCAGTTACACAAATAGAGACTTGAATTAGATAACAAACGTACAGTAAAATAAATTAAGTTAATCAGATACTTAACATGTAATTATTACTATTATTTAATGTTCAGTAGTTATAGAAATTTGTTAAAAAAAAATGAAGTTAGTAAAATATGGTTTATTAAAGCAGAACATTACAAAAAATATATAAATAGGAATTAAGGACTAGATTCGACTCCTTTTGATTACTGTGGGTTTGCGGTACCAAAAGCAGATATAAAAACGTTTATCACTGTTATAATAAATGTGGCAAAAACTGTACAGCTACACATGTGATTTGCTTGTTTTAGTTGCTCCTGTTTTTTTATGTCATACTTAATATGCCATAGAAGCATTAATCCCAACACCACCTAAACAAATTTTACTTATTTCTTCAAAACTGAATCAATAATTGACGTAGTTACTCACCTGGCCAAGTATACTCAGCGAAATCAAAATCAGACAAAGATAAAAATATGGATACGTATGGGAATTATCTATAATGTATCTTAGTTGATTAGCATTGGCAGAAAACAAAGCTAAATCCATCAGCCCATTTGATAATGTTTTTTTCTGTTGATATGTGGTTATATTGTTCATTAGTTCAACATGTTTACTGTCGGAAGTAGGTATTTTTCCGGCTTCTTCATTTGCTACAGAACAATCACTATTTTCCACGCCTAGTGACACTTTGGTTCCCATTTTACATGGTTTACTTTTGAACATTACTAACAATAACACACGAAGAGTCTCTCAGAATTTGTGCGTCACCGACGAACAACTTTAAAACGCAAAAACGCCAACAAAACTGCAAAACCGAATGCTTTTAAATCTTGCAGATGTTTTAAACATATGATAAGCATAATAAATTTGTATTCAAAATATATTTACTTCTCCCCTCCAAAAAATTGATGACGTCAGCCAAAAATTTTGCCAAATGAATCCTATCTAAAATGTCCAAAATAGGATGAGACTATACTTGTGATTTATCATTCCATTCATATTTTTTAGTTTTACTTATAGGGGGTGTCCCAAAAAAAAATTAATCACTGAGTCAATTTATTTTATTGATTGAATCAAGAATTGCAAAACTGAATTTTGAAATATTGCAGACGTTTTGAAGTTACTGTATGGAATGGTAGCTTTTTAATCAAAATATATCTGTTTATCAAGCCCAAAATTTTGCCGAATAAATCCTATCTAAAATTTTTAGCTGTTCTTTTAAGTTTTCCCTATTTTTTTAATTTGTAAACCATCTCTGTAATATAAAAAATTTTTCAAATCGGTCAAACCGTTTTTGAGTTTTAACGAGACTAACAGGAACAGCAATTGATTTATTACATATGTATATAGAAGATTAAAAAATGGGGGTTGGTGGTAGAAAGGTAAAAATTTAGGGTTATAGGTATTTTTTGATACCAAATCTTAAAAAAATAAAAATAGAAAATTTTGTCCAAAAACTAAACAAAATTTTTTAAGGGTGGGCCACCCTTACCACTTAGGGGTATAAAAATAGTTTACAACCTATTCTCAGACATACCGAATATACATAAAAAATTTCATACAAATCGGTCAACCCGTTTCGGAGGAATTCGGATACAAACACTGTGACGCGAGAATTTTATACATTATTATTTTAGAACAAATTTCATTACCATAAAAAGCTTATACTGAGTCGACCTTAAAAGGTAGACGTATGCTATCGCGGACTTTTCTTTAGAACTTTTAGAGGGGAACAATTTCATCATACATAATTTTTACGTAACTTTAACCGTTTAAGCAGCTTAAGCAACGGAAGCTGTCGAAGGAGGAATAATTTTCCCGTTTTTCCAAATTTTTCATTGCTACTTCGTCCCTATGGATCGTAGCGTGATGTTATATATAGCCTATATGTAGATACGATAAATGAACTATCCAACACAAAAAGATTTTTTGAATTCGAACAAGTAGTTTCTGAGATTAGCACGTTCAACCAAACAAACTCTTCAGCTTTATAATATAAGTACAGAAGTACAGATGATGAAAAAAGTGAATAAAAAATAAAATAAAACACTTACAAAATATGTATCAAGACGTGAAAAAAATTTGATACAACAAAAATAAGACAAAATTACCGATTAAAATAGACTTCACAAAATGTTAAAAAAGACTTCTTCTTCTGCTACAATTTACTGCAACAAAAAACACATGCAATTTTTGTTACATTATTGCACAGGTTTAATAAGTAGATAAGATTTAAAAAATAATAATCAGATAAATCTTTGAAATCACAGTATAAATTCTAAGCAAAACAGTGTTTCACAAACCACTCACGATAATTGCATGAATAATATTACTAATTTCGTAAAACGCAAAGACGGTCCGTAATGAGGTAAAAATCAAAATTGGATTTAATTTTTAAATAATTAACATTGATAAAAACCGATTAGATATTCCAATTGTTTCAGCCGAAAACGCCAGTTTTAAAGAATAAATATCTGACGAGATTCTAACGTTTGAATTCGTGTTGAAACAAATACATGTTTATTAAGTTGTTAAGTAACTACTATTTTTCCCTTAATATCCGTATTTTTATATCAATTTACCCTTTAAATCCTGATTTCCTTTTCTTCCGCGCCGATCCTTGCAGACTCTTTCCTCATGGGCACTTCACAACACTCACCTTTCACTTTAAGCCCGAAACTAAATTATTGTTAACAAAAATAAACCATTTAAACAAACTAATTTACACCGCACACGCTCTCCACGAAATCAAAACCGACAGAACTCCGTTGCATGCGTAACAGGAAAAATTAACAAAACATTCTCACCGATACCTTATCAGATATTTTTTGCAGAGTTTTTATCGATACGCCGCACAGTAAATGAATCTTAATTAAAATAGTGCAACATTATTTATTAGCAAAACATAATTTTCGCGCTGTGTAGATGAATAACAAATTACGAATGTTAAAATTCGCCAAAAACAAATTAAAAAGTGAATTTAAATACGTCTTTCGAAAATATTTTATTTTTAGACAGTTAATGACATACTACAGAATTCAAATTTTTTCACTGCTAAAAATATAAAAAAATCCGGGACCGCAGACAGACAGACGGATAGACGGACAGACAAACAGACGGACAGACAGACGGAAACGGGGGACCTATTTCTTCGTACTGTTGGAGTCATGAAAAGTCGAGAAAACATAAAAGTAGAGAGTCAATCGATGGACTCGATTACAATACTTCCTTTGCTTGCGCTCGGGAAGTAAAAAGGCGACCAAGAAATCAACAAAAAAAACGTCGCAAATTAGTGCAGGAAAATTGGTCCAAAGTTGTTTGGACAACACTTCCCTCGCCCCTGGAGTAGGTACAGTCGAACATAAATTACAAAATTTGAATTTGCGAATTTGATTTTTTTATGAATATCCCCAAATATTAAAACAAAAATGAGTGTGGATTGTTAAACTATAGGTAAAGAAGTATGCTGTGGGTGTGTTTCAAGTGAGGTTTTAATACAATTTTCTGAACAATTTTTTAGTAATAATGACAAGGAAACTGACAAAAAAGAAGGCAAGAAAAACAGGAGAAAAAAAAATTGCAAAAAGCGATAAAAAATCTATTAAAAAAATTGGTCGAAGGTTATTTCGACAGAATTTCCGTCGTTCCTGAAGTGCAGCCCAACAAATCCCGGTCCTTTGAAAAATTACAAAAAATAGAGGAATTGAACAACCGAAAAACGAAAATCGAGAAATGGAATTAAATTTAAAAATCGAAAATTGAACAACCGAAAAATCGAAATCCGAAAAGTCGAAAGATCGACCGAAATCGAAAAATTGAAAAAAATTAGATTTTGAAAAATTCCCAAAACTGAAATGTTGAAAAATTAAGAAATCGAAAACTGGAAAAATCGAAAAATCAAAAAAATGAAAAGTCGAAAAAATTTAAAATTCGAAAAATTGAACTACATATGTACAAGTACTAAAAAGATTAAAATCGGGAATTCGAAACATCAAAAAATCGTAAAATCAGAAAACGGAAAATTCGTTAATATAAAATTTAAAAAATTGAAAAACTAAAAATCAAAAACTAGAAATCGAGAAATCGAAAAATCTGCAATTAAAAAAATTGAAAAATTGACGAATCGAAAAACTAAAAAATCTGGAAATTGCAAAATCTTAGAACTGAAATGTCAAAAAATTGAAAAATCGTAGAATGGAAAAGTCGAAAAATTGAATAACCGAGAATTATAGAAATCGAAATTGAAAAAATTGTAACAACTAGAAATCGAAACATCAAAGGATTGAGAAATGTCCAGAAGTCGAACAATCGAAAACTAAAATGCCGAAAATTGAGAAATCAAAAAATCCAAAAGCGAGAAGTCGAAAAATCGAAAGAGAGATATCGAAACATTAAAAAAGGTAAAAAACATCTAAAAATTAGAAAAACTGAAAATTGAAAACTGAAGTACTAAAAAGCCGAAAAATCGAGAAATCGAAATATATAAAATTTAAACAAAACGAAAAACTAGGATGTCGAAAAGTTGAAAAAACGAAAAACTGAAAAATGGTGTAATCAAAACGTCCAAAAATCGAGATATTGAAAAATTCCAAAATTGAAAAATGCTAAAACCGAAACATCGACAACTTGAGAAATCGAAAAACTGAGAAGTCGAGAAATGGAAAAGTCAAAAAATGAAAAAATTTATTCGGCAAAATTTTGAGATAACGTCATCAATGTTTTGGGAGAGGTAAACGAATAAATTTTGCTTAACGATTTACCATGATTACGATAACCTTAAAATATTTACAAGATTTCGGAGTAATCGGTTTTGCAGTTTCAAAGTTATATTGCAAAATATTGTTTTTCAGTTATAAATTTCTTCCAAAAATTCTAGATGTCTGGGGTGAAAATTCGACACGGATTCACACACCACAAGTACAGGAGTATCTTGTTTTATCAAATTGAAAAAAAACTTTTTATTATACATTTTGGAGATGACGTCATCCCATTTAGTTAACCATCTATATGATACTCCTATTATTATACATACAAAATGTGACAACAATCGCTTCAGTAGCTTCGGAGATTACTTGCCTAATAAAAATAGATACAGACACCAGACAAACAGACAGACAGACAGACAGAAAGGCAAGGCCTACTTTTTCATCCTCTAGGGGTCATTAAACGTTAAAAAAAAGAGAAATTAAAAAAGTCGATAAATTGAAGAATCGAAAATTGAATCGAGAAATCGAAAAATCAAAAAATCTAAAAATTGAAATATTGAAAAATCGAAAAATTTGAAGAATCGAACAACTGAATTCGTAAAACTGAAATATCGGAAAATCGATAAATCGAAATATAAAAAATCGAGAAATCGAAAATTCGAAAAATCGAGAATTTGAAGAATCAACAAATTGAAAAATCCTCAAACTAAAATGCCGAAAATAGAGAAATCAAAAAATCCAAAAGCGAGAAGTCAAAAAATCGAAAGGGAGATATCGAAACATCAAAAAAGGGAAAAAACATCTAAACATTTGAAAACTTGAAAATTGAAAACTGAAGTACTAAAAAACCCAAAAATCGAAATATATAAAATTTAAACAAAACGAAAAACTAGAAAGTCGAAAAATTGAAAAAACGAAAAACTGAAAAATCGAGTAATCAAAACATCAAAAAATCGAGATATTGAAAAATTTCAAAATTGAAAAATGCTAAAACCGAAACATCGACAACTTGAGAAATCGAAAAACTGAGAAGTTGAGAAATGGAAAAGTCAAAAAATGAAAAAGTCGAAAAGTCGAAAAATTAAAGAATCGATTTATAGAAAAATTGAGAAAAGGAAAAATCGAAAATTTCGAAAGGCCAAAAATTTATTCGACAAAATTTTGAGATAACGTCATCAATTTTTTGGGAGGGGATAAACGAATAAATTTTGTTTAACGATTTACCATAATTTCGTTAATCTTAAAATATTGATAAGATTTCAGAGTAATCGGTTTTACAGTTTCAAAGTTATATTGCCAAATATTGTTATTCAGTTATGAATTTTTTCCAAAAATTTTAGATATCTGGGGTGCAAATTCGACATGGATTTACACACCATAAGTACAGGAGTATCTTATTTTATCAAATTTAAAAAAAAACTGTTTATTATAAATTTTGGAGATGACATCATCCGATTTAGTTAACCATCTATATGATCTTCCTATCATACATACAAAATGTGACAACAATCGGTTCAGTAGTTTTGGAGATTACTTGCCTAATAAAAATAGATACAGACACCAGACAGACAGACAGAAACGCAAGACCTACTTTTTCGTACTCCAGGGGTCATTAAACGTCGAGAAATCATGAAAGTAGCCATTCGTCGGATGGTCCCTACAAAATACTTCCTTAAATTACCTTCTGGAAGTAAAAATTTGAAAATAGAGGCAAAAAAAACAAAAACTGAGAATAAAAAAACAAAAGAGGTGCCAAAAACGCGCTATAAAATGCGTTTAAACGAAAAAGGTGACAATAAAAATTACACAAAAAAAAAATCGCTACAAAAAAATCTCTAGCAAACTTTGAAATTATGTTGACGACGACGGACTTCTTATTCAGTTTGACAGTTATGATGAATTAAAATCCTCATATATGGCCACATGTAGGAACTTTTCGGTTAAATAACTGTCAAGTAAAGTGTCAAATAGCTGCCAACGTTATTATTTTAAAAATAAATGTCATGCCTACTGGAAGACTTGTTTTCATATGGTACTTTAAAAGTGGAGATTTCAAAATTTTGAAATGAAATCACATCGATGTAGAAACTAAATTTGGTTGACGGCCATCTGTACGATATTTTTAAGAGCACACAACCAGAAGTCCAAAGCAATCAGCTCCGTAATTTCGGAAATTATTACTTAATTTATTGAAACAGGGGACCGACATTTTCGAATTGTACAAGCCATAAAACGTAAAGGAAATGGGAAGAGCTACAGTAAGTAACAGATGAGTAAAAAGTCTCATGGTACAGTTCAACGATTTTGTTATAACTAAATACTGAACTTTACATTGAAAAAAAAAAGTTCAAAGTATGTCAGTATATAATACTTCTACTTCACATAACAAAACATTGAATCACTAAATGTTTGCATAAAATGCACTAAGCATAGTTATTACTTCAAGGCTATTAGCAACACATGTGTAATAATAACTTTGTACATGCAATGGCCGCTGTTTAGACATGGTGTAATTTATTATTATAACTGTGTCTCTTCTCAACAGTGCACTGATGTTGATTATTAAAAAAAAAAAAAAAATAAAAACCAACACATAAACGTTGCCATGTTTATTAATTCTAAAGTACTTATTACAAATAAGTTAACGAATTTACACCCTAAGTTCGTACAAAACGTAATATCACAGTATAAAATTAAGGTCACTTAATCCTAAAAAGCAGACATTTTTATCCAACTGGGGGCGGATTTGCAACACCAAACGCAGATACAAACACATTGATGACGGTCACAAGAAATATTCCTATAACTGTGTAGTTGTTGGCCCTATTTGCTTGCTGCATTTCATGTTTTACGTTATACATGGAGTTCCACAAAAGCGTAATCCCGACAGCAACCTGAAACAAATATTTATCTTGAATAAGTTCAGCGGTTGGCAGTTCTGATAACTCTTCATCATCAAAAACATGAAACCGCAAAAACTTCCTTTGTGATATCTACGACTAAGAACAACAATTTCTGGAATTAATCACATGACAGATGCTTATTAATGATATTGCGTTATAGAAAGCTGAACGAGCGGTCGTAATTTTAGCAACTAATTTTTTAATTATTATTTACATTTAAGTACATTCCTACGAGGTCGTACGCATTTGACTTTCGCTTGAAAAAATATGTTGTTATGGACTTACTTGACAAATTAAGCTGAACGAGATTAAAATCGCACTGGGGTAAAAGTACGGATGCCTGTCTCTACATTCCATAACGTATCGCAACTGATTCGCATTAGCTGAGAACAACGCCAAATCCATCATCCCTTTCGCCATGGTTTTCTTATGCTGATAGAAGTTAATGTCGGGTATTTCTCCCCCGCCCAAAACGGATTCAACAAAACTAGGTCGCACATCCGGAGTTTTATTCCCGTTGATACCTTCACGACCATCGTCGCCTTCCTTTTTTGTCGCAATGTCTATTTCTGTGTCTCTTTCATTTTTGGCGAAGTCATCTCCCAGTCCCTTTTCACTGTCTGTCTTGACCCTTTTTTCTTTTGCCACTTCTTCCTCGTTACTTTTGTTATCAGCCGTTTCGCGTCCAGACTGATTGGGCACTTCTTCGTTTTTCTCCACTTGGGACATTTTGACTCCTGAATCCGAATTTAACGTTTCGTTTTGTTTTGGAGTTCGTTGAGTTAGTTGTTGATTGGACGACATGACTGCGGCCACTTTGCGAATAAAAACAAAAACAACACAGTAACACCAGCACTGTTTTCTAGCTTAGACCGAGCGCTGAAATGAATGAACTCGCTTGACGCTACCGCTAAAATAAAAGTAGAATCGACGGGAAATACGGAATAGCCAACACGCCAACGAGTTAATTTGTTATTATGATTCACGTGCCGCGCGGACTCGCTGTTGGTGACTATGTTAGCATAGGATCAAGAATTCAAGGTTTTAAAATGACGAAAAGAGGCAACGTTACTTAAATTTGCTAGATTTATGATAAACAGTAATAAATTGCTCTATTAAATGTGTCAAACGTAGTTTTTCCCCTGGCTTGGATGTATTCTACATAAGAGAGAACAGTAAGTCATAGTTAAGGAGGCGTACTCGGTCCAGCCCACTATTTAAACGATGATTAAGAATAATCAAGAATATAAAGTTTTAGATGCAATCTTGAAATGAGTACAGCAGAATGTGGATTCAATTATATAGACAATTTATGAATTAAAGTTAAACGCAACCTTTCTAGAAAAAATAATAATCGATATTTTTTGAGGTGACATACATTTATTTTATTGGTATATATTTTAGAACAAGGTGAAAGCAACATACGCTCGTCGTAAGGCCTGTCCCATTTTTTTCCACTTAACTGGGTAATTCCATGAATATCATAATATTACTTAACACCGGATGACTAGGTATTAATGATCGAAGCAAATTTTTATGTTGGCAATTTTGAATTATTATAGTCATCAATTTTCACATGATCATGTCTAACAAATGTGCTGATTGGTTGAGACGGTAGCAGCTGTCATAGATGTCACTTTGACAGTTAAGTATCAAAAAATCTTACATAGGTTGCCAACCTGTCAAAAGAATTATAAACATTAATAGGAACTGGGTATTAATCCAAAATATACCACAGTATCCTTCATAACGTTTATATAAAATGATCGTTGCCTTATCAATCTTTTCAAGTATTTAACAATATGAAAAAAGTTGTCGAATGTTTTTAGACCAAACTGTCCTCGTCGTTGAAGTGTAATCAATGAATCCAGTTTTTTAGAAAAGACGATATAGAAAGTATTAAGAAAAAAGTGACCCATGAATTGAACGCGACCGCTTACAGAACGTTTCTCGTATCTTAGATAAAATATTGGTATACCGTTTTACTTTTTTTGCGAAAACTGGGTGTCTAGGTTGAAAGGCGAATTCGTAAAATACAAATACAGGAAAGAGTTATGTTATTCTATAAAATTTAAATAACATTTACCATGCACATTTTGAGATGATGTCATCAAATTCTTGGTGAGGATGATTAGATAAATTTTAGTCAGTGGTGTACGATATTACGATATTCCTAACGAGCTTGTAAAATTTGACAAAAATCGGATCGATAGTTTTGGAGATTAAAGTAGCCATTCGCCGGATGGGTCCTATTACAATATTTCCTTAGTTTACGTTCGGAAAGCAAAAACAGATTGTAGAATAATATAAGCATAAAATTAATAAATATGCTCCTAATTGTTAAAATTGTGTGAAGAAAATGTGGCAAACTGGCAAATGTGCAAACAATTTTATCTACTACGACTTTTATTTGCTAGGTGCTATATTAAGATAGCAACGATTTATATTGAGAGAGATTAAAAACACAATCAAAGATAGGCATGGATTTTTGAAGTTTGTCTTTGATCGTCGCATTCTCAACTCAAACTTTCAAATTGATGGTAATCTCAAATCTGACTAGTCAAGTCTTAAAAAATCAATGGCTGTGTTTGATGGTGAATTTTTATAAAATGGTTGTTAACGCAGTAGGCGATGATTGTGCAAACCCACCTTTAGACTTAATTATAAGAAGTATAGTTTCCCCAGTTCTAATTCAGTTTATTCATTGTGTAAAAGTTAACTTGCTTAACAATAGATTACTACTATCGATAGTTAGTTAAGAAAGTTAACTTTTACACATCATAAAACCGAACTAGAACTGGGGAAACAATAACCAAGATGTCAATTTTATCAGTCAGGTTATAATTTTAAAAAACCGCAAAGAAAGAAGTTCGTGACAACGGCAAACTGCTTCAGATTCCCTTTCATTTAAAAACGATATTGCTTTTATTACGTATTGCCTTTTTTTCTTAATATGTGTAGTCATCTTTTCACAACAAGAGACTTAAAACACGTCTAAAATGGTAAATTTGTATAGGGAAATATCGATTTTGTAATCACGCTCCGCCCCTCGGTTTGACAACGAATGAAAAATTCATTACGGTTGAGGTCGAGACGGATAAGTGGAGCTTCTCTTTTGGTTTTCTTTTTTAATTAATACATTGAAAGTTTTCTTTGTATAACAAGATTAATTACGAACATATTTCACATGGTAATTTATGGTAGAAAAATAAGGATTTTATAATTGAGCTCCGCCCCTCGGCTTACGACGAATAAAAAAAAATCATCAATATTGAGATAGGGTGGGTGGGCGGGGCTTATATTTTGCGTTTTTTTTCTTAACATACATAGCCATCTTTTCATAACAAGAAACTTAAAACATGGCGAACCCTTTTGCAAAATCGATATTTTCTTACACAAATTTTTTAAACATGTTTTAAGTTTCATGTTGTGAAAATGAGTCTACACATATTATAACAAAAAGGCAAAATGTAAAACCCGCCCACCCGCCCTTTCTCAATTGTGATGATTTTTTTTTATTCGCCATGAACCAAGGGGTCGGAGCTTAACTGCAAAATAATTATTTCTTTACAAGTAATTAAAAACATAATAAAAATTTCTAAAATAAGCAAATTCAGAACAACGTAGATTACACTAGGTACGGATTGATACACGTGTTTCTGAGAAGACAGTTGAAATGTCAAAAGAGTATTTCATAATTTTAAAATTATTATACCTGATATTATTAACATTATTTAGAATTTTCACAGCCATCTGCATGGACAATCATTTTGAAATAAATACTCGTAATATATATACAGCGTGATCAACAGGTAAGTACTGTTTCAGTTGATATCAATGAATTTTGCTTAAAATTGGTAAACTTGTCACTCTACCTTACTTCTAGTTGTCAAAACTAACATAGTTGACAGTGACATTTAATTTATGTAAGTTTAGTTATTAGGTACTTTTATTGATTTTTATTAAAATGTCATAACTAAGCTTTCTTGAGCGCTTAAAAATGACATAGAGTCACGCATTTCAATCAGGTTTGGCAATAGTAGGACAAGAAAATTTTCTCAGAATTGATTAATTCTATCGCCAACTCAAACAGTACTATATTTTGTTTTCTCTCAATGCAATTTTAATGTGTATAATAGGGAATAATCTACTTTGTACCCTTTAAGCATAGAGGTAGAATGGCTTTAAGTGAAATGAAACAAATAATTTCTTATGTTGCTAAAGAAGTAAAGATATTTCTACCTACAAGATTTTATCTCCGAGATCAATTTTTACTTGTTTTGTTTTGTGATAGAATATATTTGACGAATGGCTAATTTTATGTTTTCTCGACATTAAATAGATACGAAAAAGTAGATCTCCCAGTTGACTCCGTCATCTTCTATCGGCGGCGATTTTATTAGACAGATAATCTCCAAAACTACTGGACTGATGTAACATTTTTGATGTGTAGTATATTAAGGATTTCTTGGTCGCTTCAAGGAAAAATTTGATAAGCATCTCAAAATTAATTTTATAAGAAATTTTACTTAAAAAACATAGCGCACGGTATTGTTCTTTTTTTGATAATTTTTCTCAGAAACTGAATATTTTTAACTAATAGTGCTCCAGAGGTGAAGGCAGCGCAGTCAAAATAACTTTTCAACTGTCATAGTTAAATATTTATTTATTAAGTTACAAGGTTCAAAAAAAGCAATGTCATATAGCTGTACAAAAAAAAATAATATTTTTGAAAAATCAGCTGTCTTGGAAATTATCTGTCTGTTAAAATCGCCAACAGACTACAAACAGAAGGAAATGGGAGACCTATTTTTTATACTTTAGGAGTCTTGAAACGTCGAGAAAACGTTAAAGCAGTCGTCCGCCGAATGTACCTCTTCTTTTACTTGGTTTCAAAAACCTTTTCGGATTCTTGGTTACTATTAATTAACATACTATTATACTTTTTTGAAATTCTGTATCTATGATTATTATTATTTACAATAATAATTGCAACATGCGCAGCTGTGACAAATTATGAAAACAAGGTTTGGTTTTTGTGCATTCCGTACAACAGATGACATTTAAAAGTTCAGAACAAAATTATTTTGTTATTTACTGGGAGATACCATGAGAATTCACAAGTAAGTGAGTAATGTTTTTGGTTGCCTCATCAGTCATCACAAAAATGAAGGTACCTATATATCATGTTATTCTTGCTAGACCAACATCAAACCTGGACCGCGAGATAATACAAAACCACAACTAAACTGCTACAAAGACCAAAGAAACAGCAAATTATTATTAGTCAACAAACAAACACGTATTCCAAATTTCATAAATAGGAAGATATAGGTACACTGACCGGCAAAAAAACCGGCCACCCTGAAAAATTTCGCAAAACCACTTTAAAAATTATTAATTTAACTAGTAATCGTTATTTTATTAAAGGACCATTCACAATTGACACATGATGTACAAATTAGCAAAAAAAAAGAAGACAAATAAACGCAGCATTAAATTTAATTTAACAAAATATCAGAAACAGACCAAATACGATATTTTCTAAAAAAAAAAAAACAATAAAGGAGGCTGTTGTTGTAAACAGTGTTTTTCATCATTTGATTATACGTTTGGCAATTAATAAACGTTTTCACGTGAAAATAATTCCGCTAACTCTTACAGACGTCTCTCAAATTGTCGCTCTGTTTCTGTTATTTTGTTAAATTAAATTTAATTCTGAGTTTACTTGTCTTCTTTTTTTTCCTAATTTATACACCATGTGTCAATAGTGAATGGTTCTTTAATAAAATAACGATCACTAGTTAAATTAATAATTTTTATCTACAACTGCTTTATAAAGGCCTTATTACACAACTCATTCGGCACTGTTTGAGTTGAGTAATAAACCCTCTTATTCCACTAGTGGTGTAATAGAAAGATTACACCACTAGTGGTGTAATGAAGGTCTCCACTTCTTAGTTGAATTTTATTAACATGTAAATTACAACAAATTACATTGATTAATTCTTAACTTATTTGTTATACACGTCGATAATACATTCCTTACGATTACTGATATTAATACCAGATGAAATGAAATTATTTGTATCTTTGTCCATAATGCTTAGGTTTTGTTAACAAAATGTTTGTTACAGCTCCAGTATTTAAGATTTCTCTTCTACCAATGCTTGAATCTCGGTTGTAGCTACTGGCCGTACTTGTTCTGGCTCCAGGATCACC